CCGCGTTGCCAGCAGCGGCGCTATTTTTCTCGGCGGCGCTATACACGGCAGTGTTGTATTCGATGTGGGTCAACACGCGATGGAAATGGACGGACGCGCGGGAGTGCAGCGCGGTGCGCTCGTCATTTTATCTGTATTTGTACATCCGACGGGATGCGATGTTGACTTCGTTCGTGTGACGATTGCGAAGTTCAAATATTATTGTCGATAAGTGTGAGCTTATTTGTTTCTGCGAGCCGCCTTGTATTGAATGAAGTGTATAGCAATGAATACTAAGTAATAATATCGTATCTTATATAGGCTGCCATAGCAAATATCGCGTATAAATAGGGCATTCGCCGTATAAAAGGCTGAACATCGCGTGTACAGTGCGTGCTGATAGCGAGGCGATACCAATATATCACTCCTGGCTCTTGAGCCCGCACTGGCCTTCCGCTGACGTCACGTCTACGTCACGGAGTCAGGGAGCACGGCGTGCGACTCTTGCGCGTAGAACGTGCAACCCCCGAGCGAGTGAAAAGAAAATGCTGATGAGATTGCTAACTTTGTTATTGTGTACTTTGTTATTGTGTACTTTGTTATTGTGTACTTTGTTATTGTGTACTTTGTTATTTTATTGCGGCGAGTAGCGTTTCGCGGCGTGGAAAACGCGTCACTGGTCACGTGACCGTAATTATTTCTCGGTTTTCATCACGCTGTGCATTATTTTCGAGCTTCAGTATACTGTGCGCTTAATTCTGCTCGCATCTCTTCCTCACACGTTGCTAAGGCGTGCGAACACCATCGGATATGACTTGTCCGTTTTAAAATCCCAAGGCATGCTGTTTGATGATGTGCCTTATTCCGCTGGTTATGTGATTCTATGTGATTCAAGTGAAAAACAACTTTAATGAGGTCGAATCGCACCGGACCGCTCTGTTGACGTATATTCGAATGTTTTTGTGTGTGCAAAAAATTTATCGATATGATACCTATACGTCGATTGCGCGTTAAATCTCATTTGTGTATCATCGGTTCTTCGAAGAAATGTCGCCGAATTTACGCGCACTTGTGTGAACACTATCTAATATCAACTCTATCTTTTTCTGCTTTCAGCAACACGGCGAGAACGAAAAATGCAAGTTCTACGAGCGAATAACACCCGACGGTCACACGGAGTTCCAGTCGGTGTTCAACGACACTTGGCTGTTAGGCTTTAACAAGAAGGGTAAACCCCTTAAGGGCAATGCACACCGGAAGCGACGGAGCCGCGACTTCCGGTTAGGTTATCATTTCATAAAGATATTAGACGGCGAGAGCGGCCTGACGGACTTTGGGCATCCCAAGTACGGCCCGCACCGTCGCTACAACGCCAAGCGCTTCGACGTCGTCAGTGCGAGTGTTGACATCGGCCGTGACTCTCCCGTCATCACGTCGTTCGCGCAGCCTGCAAGGTGACAGTGCACAGCGACGGCCGGCAGATGGCGCTGCCGCTAATAGCTGTTCATGTGTTGCGCGTGCGTACTGCTGCCCGTAGCTAGCAGCAGCAGCGGCCCCGTAACTGCGTCGCTCTCCGACAGGGGCGCCCGACTCGCCGCCGTGCGTGCGCGCATGCGTGGGGTCCAGTACGCGCGGGAGAAGCAACAGAGTGCAATAGAACATTGGCAGCTAGGGTGCGTCCGTGAATGAACAATACTGTAGCTGAGCGACTCGTACTCGTGCGTGTGCTATTTGTTCGAATAGCTCGACTTTACTCTGTGAAGCCAGCGTACCGCGGCACGTTATCGCGAGAACTCGCGAGAAGTACAGAGGACACATTCTCAGTCCCGACTACAAGAGGAAAGACATATTCGACGCGACGGCAACGCCACCTGGAGGAGCGGATCAGAGTGTCAACTATCTATAGGTTTCGTTAGCCGTAATAGAATGATTATATGGGTGCTGTCTCTGTTTAACATATAGGTCTGGTAATTGTAGTTATTTATTTTTCGCACACACTGTTGTAATATAATATACGCGACTTGCTGCGGTTGACTGACTAATAAACTAATGAGGGCACGGTAACTGTAGAGTTTTAAAACCAGGTTCAAGCCCCGGTCGTGCCAAGTGGTTGAGTTAGGCCGATGCACAAAATTCATAGGGTTGGGTTTTCCCGTGGGTGATGGCCTGGTGGTGGTCTGTCTGTCTGTCTGTCTGTTTGTCTGTGTGTGTGTGTGTGTGCGTGCGTGCGTGCGTGCGTGCGTGTGTGCGTGCGTGTGTGCGTGCGTGTGTGCGTGCGTGT